AGGGAGGGGAGGGAGGGAGGGAGGGAGGGAGGGAGGGAGGGAGGGAGGGAGGGAGGGACAGACAGACAGAGACAGAGATTTTTAAAGTAAAGTTGCATCGTACATCTTTGTAGATTTTTCGTTAATGCAGCCACTGGGACCTGAAGCATTCATGTGAGCAGAGCAACATCCAAGAGCATGGCTTACTCATACTGCCCTGGGAAACCTAGGGAGACCCCAGCTGCTCTTGGTCTGGCATGCAGACTTAAATCCTGAGCTCCGTGACTCCCAGATGCCCGCAATAAAGAAAGGACTGTTGTTCCATCGGTTTTCATAGTGTCTTCTCCCTCTGAGGAGAATGTAATTATGGTTTACTCACATTTTATAGCTAGGACATAATTACATTTATATATTTACTTTCAATGGAAACCATTACAATGCTCATACAATAGTATTGCATATATTAATTCCTCTTAAGAAGTGGATAGACAGATAGATATAAAGAGAAAGAAACACAGAGAATAACAAGCCAAACTGAAAATCATTCCAATGACAAGTCTGGGAATCTTGGTACCACCTTTACAAGATTTCTGTAACTTTAAGTTATAATTACCGATTTCCAGGGTAGAACAACATATAGCCATGTACTATTCATCTGCTGAAAACATTATAAAGGCTTCCTCAACAAGAATTACTGAGTTCTGTCTTGCTGGTGACAAGGAGAGTTTCACATTCTCCCTCAGGAAGATGAACGCAGAGTCCCATTTGCTCTCTCAGGTCTCTGTAGGACTGGGATTTCTCATTTTTATCTCTTGGATCTTATTTTTATTTCTTGGATTTGATTTTTATGAGAAGGTGTCTGTGAGTATGTCACACCGGCCTGGAATTCTCTGTGAAACCCAATGTGGCCTAACTCACAGTGCTCCTACCTCAGTGCACTGAGATAGCAGGCATATGCCACCTCGGCTGACCGCATGGGGTTGCTTTATGCCTTCAGTGGAATGCTTAACATTTCCATAAAGTTTGTTAATGCAAATCAAAACTGAAAAGCCTCTGTCTGAAAGCCACACTGATTGCTTTTGATACCTTAACTCAAACAGAAAGGCACTTTTAATAGAAAGTAATTACATAGGCACTAGTGATGTGGTATTTTTTTTCTCTCTCTCTTTTCAGAATGGCTTCTCTCCTCAGCAAATTTAGGATAAAATTTGCAGACATCCATATAATTGGAGACATCAACATTAAGCCAAACAAAGAGAGGTATGAATTGTTTAGCAAGCTTGGCTGACCCCTGCTTCTCTTTCTTGTGTTGCTTAACAAAGGGTGAAAATGTAATGTGTTTACTGTAATGACTTCTTGAGAGATGTTAAAGAAATGCTTTCACTAACTATGACACAGAACCACCCAGTCCATTTTAATAGAGAGAAGACGGTTTGGAAAGGATCCCCATCCCAGGATGACTTTTGGTTCCACGGACTAAGTGGCTCAATGCTTAGGGCCTGTGAGCTTTTAATGGAGCCTCTAAAACTATCTGAGACCTAGAGCAGTGATAAACCCCACTCCCAAGAAATAGAAAGCTGGCAGAGTTGAGATAATAATTTAAATGTCTTCAAAGCATGGCAGTTGTTGAGTTTCTCAATCCCATTACTATCTTAGCCATTCAAAAATGCCATAGGCCAGGCAGCTTGGCCTACCGATACTTGTATCTCAGTTCTGTAGGCTAAGCAATCCAAGATGAAGGAGCTTTGGAATATGTATCCGTTGAGGATTCTCTTTCTAGCTTGAAGCTGGTCACTTTCACATCCAATGAAGAAAGAATTCTGATATTTCTTTCTCTTCTACTAGGGCATTAATTCCCTCATGGGACCACCATCCTTATGACTCTATCTAAAGCTAAGTGGCCCCTGAAGTCCCCATCTCCAGACTTCACAACATTGGTGGTTTAGGCTTCACCATGTGAACTTTGGCAGTGGGCTGCAAACCTTGCATTTCATAACAATAGTATCTGAAAACCACTGGTATCACAGGTTATATGTGCACAGGGTATCTCAAAGGTGCAAGGATATTGGCAAGAATTATGGTCAATTTTAAATTAAATGAACTGATTAGACTTATAATTTAGCAACTACAGAAAGTTTTCAGTTGCTGATAGTAAGTTATATTTACTGTATCTTGTGGATACAATTTAATACATTTGATTTAGAATAGACTAGAGGCCACAAAGAAAACCACACAGTGGCACATGAAGGCTTCTAAGTGCCTGGGGTCCTACAGTCCTATAGGACTTTCTTTGTTTCTGCTGCCCCTGGCAGTTCTTGACAAGCTGTCATTCTACAATCCCTGAGTCTTCTCACCTCGTCCCTTCTTGTAATATGTTTCTTTTATGAACTTGATAAATATCTAAAAATAGTAAGACTTACAATGCATTTTATTGACCAGATGAACTTTGTATTGTTTAGGATGTCTATGAGCTCCCTAAGGCCACAGGTCAGGTATAATGCTTTACAAAGCACCTTCTCTAATAAGAAAGTTGAAACAAATAGGGCTAACCAGAAATGCTTTATAACATTTCCCTGTATCATACATACCTCACATGCCTGACATTCTTATGCTTCTGCACTCACGATTGTGTATACTTAACTATGTATTTATAATTCCCTCTGGTGAGTGGGACTACTGTTCTGATCAGAACTGGATTGTCATAAGATCTCTTTTCACTTGAAGAGTTGTAGTTCATTGGGTCAATGGCTCGTGGCATTTCAGTCATGGGACCTAACAGGCAATATTGGGTGGCTCCAATTGGTAGAGAGAGCAATGCTTCATAACAGAACAAGCTGAACAAGTTTTAGCATGAAGCTCTTAGTGGCACGATTTAGAGATCATCCATCATACATCATGGTCAAGCCACTTTCCAAAATCTGGGGGGTGGGGTAGCCACTGCCTCTCTTTTAAGTCCCTGTTCTATGCTGAGCACAAATTAGTCATCCGAATTAGACTTGTAGTAGTGGAATTTGTCTTCATTACTTATCTTCCTAAATGAGTACTTATTTCCCTTGTCTTTTCCTCCTCAACCTGGTTTTCTCTTCTCAGAGAGTCCTGTTTCCTTCAGTGTTAGCTATCCTAGCCTCCATTCAGCTGCTACATCCACTGCCCTGTGTCCTTATACTTTCTGTTCTGTCACTGAGCATGTGATATATTACTTTTATGAACTTGCCACTCCATTCTGGGAGTACCTACTTGTCACAATACAGACACACGTTGTCTTACTATGACCTTTGACCCATGATATCTTCTTCTTGGGGCATTTTCATTTTGTCCTGTGTCTAAATTTTATTCCAGATACCATTGTAGTCTCTCACACAATGTCATCCTCCTCCTCAAAGAGAATTACTTCCCTTCCGTAAAACCAATAAATTAGATTTCAGAGTTTTGCAGTCTTTCTCCCAGCTGTATCAAAGTTGCAGAGAAGATACATTCATTTTTACTAAGGTAAAATAATTGTGGTGCCTACTGTACACTGTCCTGAGAAAAGAGGCCATCTTCCAGAAGGAGGGTGCAGAAGAGCCATCCTCATCTCTCACCCATCTACCCTCCTTCAGCCAAATTGCTTTGTAAAATGCCAAGAACCCTGCTGGCAACTCACACCCCAGGCTTTGAAAATGGCCCTAGTTTAGAACAGAAAGCAGTCATTTGGTCCATGGCACCCATGGCTTCTGGCAGCAAAGTGGGTAGTGCTCTTCTAGATGGATGCAGCCGCAGGCCACTGATCTAAGCCATCAAGAGAATACTGGCCCAGTGACTGGAGAGATGGCTCAGCAGTTAAAAGCACTAGCTACTCTTACAAAGGATCTAAGTTCAATTCCCAGCACCCACATGGTAGCTCACAACCATCTGTATGGGATCTGATTTCCTCTTCTGGTATTCTTGGAGTCAGAGCACCCATATGCACAAAATATGTGAATAAACAAATCTTAGAGAAGGGGTGGGGAAGAATATTCTCCCAATTTCAGCACCCATGGTGGTCTTCATGGCTGAGCAGTCTTTGTCACCATTAACAACTATCCCCAGATCACTATTTTTGTCTTGCTCACCTGGTGTTATACAAAGTCAGTGATTTGCTTGTGGAGAGTAGTGTTAAATTATCTTACAATTACCTTTGGTAAATCTTTTAATAACTGTGAAATGTTGTTACCACAGAGGCATTTGACAGAACAAAAGCCAACTAAATGAGAAAATAATTGAGCATGAGAAATGTAGGATATATTGTGGTTAGATTCCATTTTTGTTGTATAAACTGAATTAAATGTCATGGGCCAAAGACAACAATCTTTATATGGAAATCAAGAAGAAACTGAAGGCAATTAACCAGATAATTTAGCTTAAAGATACTAGATGCTAGAGTAATTAAAAAAAAGAAAGAAAGAATAAAAGAAAAAGAAACACTATTAAAGATTATTGTGAAAGAAGAAACCTTATGTAGACCAACCAAGGAGAAAAATTTAAATTTATATCCTATTTGTGAAATGAAAATGTATCATTTTCCTCCTTCCCTTTCCTGTCTCAAGAAAAGCTTTCTGCAGTTAATGCTAAACCTTGGTATGAAGAAAATGACGTAGAATGTAGGACAGTTAATAGTTAATTTTAAAATGCTGAATTAAACCTCATTTATATTTAACAGCAGATATTACAGATATGTCTGAGAGTCAATGGAAAGGTACTTTTTAAAAAAAATCACTTGGGGCCTGAAGAGATGGCTCAGCATTAAGACCACTGGCTGTCCTTCCAGAGGACCAGGATTAAATTCTTAGGACCTACATGGTAGTCCTAATAACAATCTATAACTCTGGTTCTAATGACCTGTTCTGCTGACCCTGGGTATTGGGCATATGTAGTGTATAGACATGCATACAGTCAAAACACCCATACGTATAAAATAAAACTAAATAAATCTTTCTCTTGCTTTCAATTTTAAAAAAGGAAAGAGAAATAAGGGAAAGGAGGGTGGAAAAATGTGCTGCTTTAGGATCACCTGGTTGGGACAGCAAAAGGGCCATCTCGGGACAAGCAATCAGAGGAGGAATGGGCAAAGACAGTTTCCTCACAATGCAATGTCCTTTAGCCATGTTTAAAATGCAAATGAGAGAAAACCTCATAGTGATTCAGGTGACAGACATGATTGTTATACACAGTCAAATACAAGGGTAGGCTGGCTTTCAATTAAACGACCTTGAAAATAAACTTTATAACAAAGTACTGATTCTCTTCCATTCTTCCTATTCTATCTTCTTGTATAAAGCTGTCAATCAAAGTTTATTTAGCTTACCAAAGCAAGATGACTGACAATAGCAACTAGGACTACATACTTGTTCCCATGTTCAGTAGGAGAGAAAGTGTCTCTTTCTAGTCATTGAAGTCAGGGCTTACCACAGGGCCTTCCATGGTAGGCGCCACAATACTGGGTGTATATTGGTGCAGAGAGAATCTAACTCTACAAAAGTAAGAACATGTAGAGTTAAAACAGTGCTTTCCACATTAAAACTAAGTTCTGGAGCTGGTCAACATGGTGGTGCCTTACTTTCCCAAGGCACTCATCCACACCATCTGCTGCTCTCCTAAGACTACCAGTGGCCATTGTCACTCCCTTCTATAGACCAGGTTAGCTATACCAAGGACAAGAGTTAGAGCAATAACTAAAGCAAGAATCCAGGATCTGAGGTTGGACCCTGCATCTTATTGACTGTCTTTACAGCCTTCTAAAGGGTGATGCTGTTGGAAGTAGCAGCAAATGGAAGTATTGTTGAAAGAATAATAGGGTCACTCCAGTTCTCTTGCTCATCCATCCTCTCCCCGACTTTCTGAGAGTCAGCACAATAGAAATCTATGGCACTTAGTATCTTTTCAGTCCTTAACAGAGGCTTACTGGCAGAGACAATTTTACTCCTTTGTAATCTCTGCACTATTATCTGCAAATCCTAAATCAGGCCAACTGATGAGATAATTAAATTCATCACTTCGTATTTTAATGTCTTAACCCCAAAGTGTATGGATTCTAATTATCATTCATCCCAAAGTTACTAAATTGTAAGTAAGCTAAATTATATAAAACCAAAGAAAATTATTCATAGTCAAGACCTTCTCCAGCAGAGCTCTGAAGACAACTCCTTTCATAAATTATAAGCTTTACTTTGTGCTGTGGTTTGAAGAATAAATCTTAAGAGATTATCATGTAAGACAAGAATGAGATTCTCCTTGCAATTTTTAAATGTTCCATAGCTCTCACACACAGCTTCTTGCTTTCTCTTCAATGATTTATTTTTAGATGTCCTAAGATGGCCTCAGATTTTTAGGCATTAAATGTTATTGATTTTTGTCCTCTCACTTAACACAAACATGAATAATAGTCATTTGAAAATCTCAGACAGCAACATCAAACACCAGGACAAGGACACCATTATTTTTGGCAGACATTTTTGCACAAGAAGTGTTAAGCCTGTGGGAGCCCAGGCTATTTTCCTATTTGTCCAAAGCCTCCTTAATGGTGGGCATTGTTAGTTGACTGCCGATGTGGAGGGTCCCCAGCTCTCAATGAATAGAGGTCATCTCTCAACTACAAAAACTGATAGTCTCCCATTGATCAGCATAACAAGCAAATGAAAAGTCAGGTGTGGACTTAAGTGTGTACAGCATAAGTGTGGCTTTAACCACATTATGCAGAAACCATATCTGTGCAGTAATTACTATCTATGTGCTCATGAATTAATAATACTGATGATACTCGCAAACAAACAAGGCCTCAAACACACCACTGCTTGCTTTCACCACTGAGGGAGTGCTGTACCCATGGTTTCCTCATTGTAAGTTCCCTGCAAAGATGACTCTTAAAAGATTTGCATACCATTCAGCTCTGATTCCATGCATCTGTGAAATAATGAGTCCATTCCCCACTGTGAGGCCTCCTTTACAATTCCAATTTCAGCTGGAAAGTCTTTGAAGAGATGATTGAACCTTATCGGCTCCATGAAAGCCACAAAGATTTGACCACTGCTGAGAAATTAAAAAGAGAAAGTCCATGGAAAATTACAGATGCAGAACTGGAAGCAGTCAAGGAAAAGGTAAGGACTTGTCTTTCTAAGTTTTCACTTTACTGTCTAATTAGATCAAAGAGGTAACAGGTTTGAGTTCAAGAAATGAGACATCTGGTCAACCTGCCTTCCTGCACACTCTGCATTTTTAGGTGCTTTTCAATCATATGACTGGATATAATCATTTAGAAAATGTTTTCTTTTTTTTCTAGAAAATAACTTATTTTTAAGTTAACAGAACAAGTTATTGGTTCATATTGTGATAGCTCCTTTGAAATTTATTTTTAATAATCTAAAATAAGTCATTAATCATGCAATGTAGTAAAGGCAAGTTTAACACAATTGAAACATTAGCAAACACCTTCAACCTATTAAACATAGCTGTGAAAAACTAGCAAAAATATCTACAGAAATTTATGATGTATTGCTTAGAATAAAGAATACAGATGTTGTACCTGGTGCTAGCAAGATAGCTTATCAGATGTCCTGAGTTCAATCCCCAGGTCTCACTGTGCAAGCAGAAAATATATTCGTAAAAAGTTGTCCTCCTCCATCTACAAACAGTGGAGTACACATACAGGAATAATAAAATAAGTGTGTGTGTGTGTGTGTGTGTGTGTGTGTGTGTGTGTGTGTGCGTGTGTGTGTATAAGCTGAACCTGGCATACACATCATGAGATGGATGAAAATGGCTGAGTTTTCCTTGGTAGCCTATAAGCCCAACACTCTGGAGGCTAAGGCAAGAGGATCACAACCCCCAGGCCAACCTGAGGTGAACAGAGAACAACCAGAAATTTCTCTGTAGCCTGTACTTAAACTAGTGGGTAGTACTGATAATGGAAAAACAAAAACAGGGATGCCAATCTAAGTACAAAACTCAACATCTTAATTGAACATTAAAGGACAAGGACCACAGGAACTTCTAAACTACAAACATAGATAAACTGTAAACTGTATTAGGATCTCAGCTGGGAAACTTAAGAGAACGAAAATATTAAATTCTTCCAGCATTAGTAAAACAACCCTGGAATAGAACAATAAATTGTGCATGGGATTGAGTACCCAGTTTTTACAGAAATACAGTGTATAAGCAATGCACACACCTGAGGCTGGTTCTGAACCAGTGAAATACAAAAGTATTATTCTCATCACTACAAAATAATTTTCTAATGAGTTTACTGGTGGCTTATTACTCGAACCAGTCCCGTATGAATATTGTCAGGAAGTATAAAGGAAACAGAATAGATCAGAACCTATCTTGTTAGGCTATCAAAGTAATAGCAGGATTCAATTAGTTTTCTTCAAATGAAAGTCTGTTCCCAAACTCTCTGTTCTAGTCTTTTTTGATTTGGCCATCTGTCTTGTTTTCTCTATACCCCTAAAATCTAATAAGCCACCATATCACACTGACAATCCAGACTCACTTTACATTTCTAAAATTTCCCATGAAGCTTTGCAACATTAAATAGTCATTTTTCAAAGCACACCTTATTTATTTCTAGAAATGACTTTTTAAAATGACATCTTCTGCTTATCCATGACTTGAGGTGAGAAGATAGATTCTCATTCAGAATTCTGGTAGACTTGCACTCAACTCAGTCTAAATACTGTCCACAGAGTTACCGCCAAGTTCGACTGAACGAGCTCTTACAGGAACATTCCAGAGCTGCCAACCTCATTGTGTTGTAAGTGTTGCTCTGCAGTTATGATTGGTAGGAAGGAGGGGTAGGGTGAGTGGGCTAATCAGACTAAAGGCCCATGACTCTTCCAGTGGGAAGTTTTTGGGGTTTTTTGTTTTGTTTTGTTTTAAGATATGTTGGCTCGTGTAGGAGTTCAGACAGTGAAGGAAGATAAATGTCACCATAAGACAGGATGACAGAATCCTGGGGACTTCAGCAGAACTTGCTTGGGTTTTCTAGCCATCCAGCAACATTCATGGGGCTGGGAACATGTGTCCATGTTGGACTGATGCTATCCTTATGGGCCCATACGGATCAGGCTGCAGAAGCCTAAACTCTGAAATTCCCTCCCAATAGCCCAAGTGGACCATGGAGCTCACAAGCATCTTCCATAGTGGGTTCTTCCCGAGCTATGTGTGTCCATGACTGACTCTCTGTACAGTGTGGGAAGAAGTCACCAAAGACAAAAGGCCATGAGCTTTTCTATTGTCATTCTTTATCACATGGCCCTACCAATGTTAGGAAAATGCCTACTGAAAATATTACTCATGAAATGAAGATTGGTGCTAAAAATGGGAATGTGTCCAACGACTTCATTTTGACCTCATGAACTAACCCAAATGTGAAGATGTATGTATCTTAAAGTACGGTGTGGCCTGGAGGACCACTACATCTAATGTCCCCTCCAAGAAACAGGAAATATGGAAGGCAATAGTAACTGCCTCCATATGATGGATGGATATCTTTTGATTAGATTCTTTATTTAATGAAAAATTAGAAGTTACAATTATATTTTGTCTGTATAACAACTAAGCCACTTTTCTCATTTATAGATATTTGCATTATCTGAAAAATGCATCAATTCTGTAGTCAAAGTAACTGCAGTGCTTATCTCTGAGGGGGTGCATGATAAACCTTTCATTACTAATTCAGAAGTGCAGATAATGTCCCTACTGGCTGTAACTTTCTCTTTGGTTTTAATTTTTCTTCCCTGTTGTCAGGAGCCTTCCAGTGGCAAGAAAAGGATCTATTTCGGATTTGTTGTACATGGCGTGGTTAGAAATCCTGACCAAGAACCTCCCTCCTGTGTTACTGGTTAGAGGAAATCACAAAAATGTCCTGACATTTTACTCTTAAATCGTGAAGGATGAGAAATGTTGTACCTTGGTGTCTGAATAATTATGAAACACATCTGGTTCTTTGTGATTTAAAACCTCTTCTATGAATATACAAACCTCTGGAGGCTAGCCTACCCAATTCTACATAAATGTTGTCTTTTTTAAAAAAGTTATTATTAATGAGAGTTTTCCCCACTAGTTAAAAAAAAAAGCATCAAAAGCTATGGGACTCCTAGAAAATCACTTTTCCGTTGTTGCTGATAAATAAGAAGTTAATACAAGCTGGCTGACATGCTTACAGGATATGCTAATCTAGATGTGCGCTCCAGGCAAACTTAATCTCTTGTTTCTGCGGAGTCTGCTGCACAGCCCTGGTGCAGGCCAAGGGCCCACAGCAGGCTCTCCTTAAGTTCTTATTGACAGGCTGGTCTGGGGAAGGCAGGTGGCTATCATAGGGAAAGGCCTGCTGGGTCAGTGGCCTGATTCTGCTTGGCCTCCTGAGAAGTTTGTGAAGATTTAAAAATCAATATCTGGAAACTGTAAGAAGGACTAGAGCCTACGAAGTGTTCAAAGCAGTTACCTAAATAAGGTTTATTTAATGCAGCAGATAATAAGCTTAACCTCTGATCGCACGTAGCTTGCATTTGTTGCTAGCTGGAGGTATATTAGGTAGGAGAGCAAGAGACGCATGTTCCACTTAAATGAAATAGAGTCTTAACATACAAATATCAATTGTCTTTCTGGCTAAATATTTTGAAATTTCTATTTTAGTACTACTTTATTTTTTTCTCTCTAATTAAGTGGTTTGCATAGATGAAATAAAATCGATGATCTCATTGAAAATTAATCTCACAGGTTTCCAATCTACTATTAAAAATGTATCCAGATCCTACATTTATTTACTTTCTAAATATACAGGCATATGGGCTTTATAGAATACCTAAGATATAAATGGAGAAACTTGTAAAATTTAAAAATACAGGTGCTGATTTTTCTTCTTGTTAGTATGTGTATATTATTTAATCACAGAAAAAATGCTTATATGATAAATGGCTTAGTTTTGGTTTTGGTTTTCTCTTTTCTTGGCATATTTTGACTGTTCTAGGGATGTTAATGGGGGCTAATTGACCTGAAATAAAATCACTAAACTTTGTTTGCTTTGGCAAAATAGTGTATTTTCCTTTTCTGTTACTGGAATCAACAGCACTGTGAAATGGTTCGCAGATGTAAGCATGAATATTGTATCTGGTGGCCCTGCACTGTTTAGTACTGGGGTTCAGGATGAGTGTTTCTAACCTTAGCTTCGCTCAGAGGTGAGCAGAACAAAGGAGCAAGGCGTGAGCAGCTGGTTTCCATAGTTCGCTTCCCTGTACTTAACCTCAGCTTGGCCCTGAGGCTCTGAAACCTGACTATTGACCTAGTGAAAAGGGCCAGATTCCTCTGACACACTAGAGTGTGTCTCTAGGAAAGGCATGACGTGTATCAGTGAGCAACAGATCCCCTCACCATGGACTTGTTGGAGTTGAGGGGAAGCTGGAATTGGAAGAAGGAAATGGTAAGCAGAGATGTAGGGGGTAAGGACTGGCTTGTCCAGCAATCTGGAGCTAGAATGTTCACTTCAAAGTAGCCTCAAGAAGGGAGAAGAGTGCCTGGGCCTTGTACTCCTGCATGATTAGGGCGGCTTGCTGGCTGTGGGCTGCCCTGGAGAATGTGTGAACTTGTTCTCTGAAGGGAACTGAGGTCTGTCTCCCAGCTCATTGATAGCAAGCGCTTCACTAACAACTCTGGAATAAGATCATCATTTCTGCCAAAGGGCGGGAAAAACATACACACACACACACACACACACACACACACACACACACACACAAGCCCTCTCCTCAGGCTGGCCTGAGCTCAAGTCTCTGTTTACTAATGGGGCCCGTTCCTCTATTCCTTAGGCACTAAGTGATAGATTAAACCCAGGTCTGTTTGTTTGAGGTTGTTTTGTTGTTGCTGCTGTTGGTTTTTGGACAGATAGGGTCATATAGTTCAGGTTAAATTCAAATGACCTTGAACTTCTCCTCTTCCTGCATATACCTCCCAAGCACTGGAATCTCAGTAACACACCACTTCTCTAGTTTATGTGTTGCTGGGGTTGAACCCTAGGCTTCATGAATGCTAGGCAAGCACTCTCCTGTAGATACTAGATACTTTCTGCTACTCTGTGGAGTCTTTTTTCCCACCCTTGATCTCCACCACTAGCTTCACTCCCTAATACTGGATAGGAGGGGGGGGGGAGGGAGGGAGGGAGGGAGGGAGAGAGAGAGAGAGAGAGAGAGAGAGAGAGAGAGAGAGAGAGAGAGAGAGAGAATCCCTGAATCTAATGAATCTAATTTCTTTCCTTTTGTTTCTTCTTTGAACACGCATACTAACAAACTGCAAACAACACCCTTGAACGACTAACAACCACCAACTCGGCCTGTCGGCCTGTTTCTCTAACAGCAAAGAAGTAGCAGTGACAGAACCCATTTGCTACTCGGAGCTTTGGGCACAAGGGAGGGAGTCAAAGGCAGACAAGGCAGGAGAGAAGGAAAGCAAGGCTTTCTCTCTAAAACTTCTAGAAAGGCAGCCTTCTCAATGTCCTGTTATGTTTAGATGATTGAGAGCTGGGTTGGACTTTTGACTTAAATTTCAGACAGTGTTTAAGCCCCTAAGACTGTAACACTTTGCTATACTGGCAACAGAACACTGATAGCTGCTGGGTGTGGTAGTGCAGGTCTGTAATCCCAGCACTAGGTGGAAGCAACAAGATCAGGAGTTCAAGGTCATCCTTGGGAAGTTCAAGACCAACCAGGGCTATGAGAAACCCAGGATCAAAACAACAAAACAAGACAAAGGAAAAAAGCAGAAAGGAAAAAGAAATTTTAAGTTGTCATCAATTAGAGCAATGGTTCTCAACCTGTGGGTCATCATGCCTTTGGCTAGCATATCAGTTGTCCTTTATATCAGATAAATACATTATGATTTATAACAGTAGTACAATGCAGTAGCAATGAAATCCTTGTATGGTCGGGGGTCACCACAACATGAGGAACTGTGTTAAAGGATCTCAGCTTTAGGAAGGGTGAGAACCAGCCATTTAGAGGTTGGATTAGCACAATAAGCAATTTTCAGTCTCTGCAACCTTTCTGGTCTCCAGGTAACTTAGAACAGCTTCCTCTACCAAACTCTTTAGTGTTGCAGTATCTAACAGCACTTAACAACCTGTTAGGGAATCTGCAAATGACAACTTGGTTCACAGCAATTTGCTGGTTGCTCCTTTGCTGTAGCTTGTCCATGTATGCATTTAGGACTGACCAGTCAGTATTAGATAACCAATTAGGGGACTCATCTCTGGAAACTAATTTTCCCTCTCTCTACAGTTGTTAATTGGCTCTAGTTTGTCATGTAGGGGTGGGGCCCCTTGCCATGTCCCCTGCCCATGTTAGCATACCTGTTGGTGTTGTATATGGGGCCACTGTGCATTTCCCACCTCTGATGCATTCGGAAGGGCTGGCTCAGACGGCTATGACACACAAGGAGAAGCAGGGCTGAGCTCTTGTCATTTGAGTTGGCTCCTTGATCAGACAGGCTCTGGGATGCAGTTAGTGTCACTGCCTTTCTCTCAGCCACACCTGGCTTCTGTGAGAACCCTTAGTCTGTTAGGGTGTGGGTGGGTACTACAGCTGTAGTTACCTCCATTGTCTTAGCCACGCCTGGCTTCTGTGAGGGCCCCAGACCATGTGAATAACTTCCACCCCCAACATTATTTCCTACTAGAAATGGTGTCATTGTTAACGTTGTCTATGAACTGTTTGGTCAGGCTTCTGGAAACTACGTAACACATTTGGAGTTTTGCCAGTTTTTCTCTTAAGAATGCCAACTTGACCCAGATCTTGCAATATTTTGCCTACAAGTGACCTGTATAGACCTCTTGGACGACTTTTCCTTGGATGTCAACTCCTCCTCCTCCTCCTCCTCCTCCTCCTCCTCCTCCTCTTCCTCCTCTTCCTCCTCTTCCTCCTCCTCCTCCTCCAATATTGCTTCACCACTTTACAAGTTCAAGTGCTGGTCTTGGTCACTCATGTCTGCCAAAGCCTCTCTACTTCAAGATCACATCCCATAGTAAGACTCAACAGAGCCACTAAATCCATCCTAGTCTTGCTGAAACAACTTCCTTTTTAATTGCCAGGTGGACATGGTTCTTTTTTGCCTGGTGAACTGAAGATCAATCACAGCTTCACCCAGTCTCTTCAGTAATACCCCCCCTTCCTCTATGGCCCTCCATCTCCTGATATTTGCAGGGATCTCAGATGGAGATGGCCAAGTGTTCCTACAGGCTTTACCTGTTCAAGAGCTGGTTTTCCTCATACTGTCTAGGGTGACAACTCATTTGTCTTAAGGAGGTCATTGCATTGCTCCGTTTTTCTGCCACCACATTGGTTAGATGGATCGCATCTGTCCCTCTAACCCACAGCCTCAGTAGTCAAGCTGTTGCAAGTTTTCTATCATTGTTTAGACATCCTCCCCAATTGGAGCAGCTCAGGGGCAGTATTTCCTGACTGTCATGGTTTCCTGTACTAGACAGTTGTTAAGGCCCCCATGTGCGCGTCAGATCACAGATTCCCCCATTTCTCTTTTAAAGTTCCTACGCAAGGGTCACTTTCTCTCCCTGTTGCATGTTTTCCTCCCCTCTCTCCTATTCTTCCCATAAGTTCCAGGTTCTTGGATCCCAGGAAGGGCTTCTTAGCACAGATCTAATTTGTACTCTTTTCCCGTTGGTCCCCAGCTGTACGGAATGACAAACCAACACTTCCATGATCTCCTGTCTTTTATCTATTTGACCTGACAAGTCAGAGGCCACCAGGATATGCTAACTGCATCTCCTTTTCCCTCATACTCCCTCAGGCTTCGCTCTGGCTGCCCAGCCACCTGAGCCTCGATTGCATCTCTTCCTACACCTAACAGTGGCCAACACCTCCACAGCCTCTTGCCAACACCCCCATCTCTCACAGGCTACTCTCAAACACTGCAAAATTTGTCTGTACAACTGTGGGGAATGAGAGAGAAATATACTGCCTTTTTTTTTAATTTTTTGGTTTTTAAAAAAATATTATTTATTTAATGTATATGAGTACACTGTAGCTGTCTTCAGACACACCAGAGGACACTGGATCCCACCACAGATAGCTGTAAGCCACCATGTGGTCACTGGGAAAGAACTCAGAACCTCCAGAAAGAGCAGTCAGTGCTCCTAACCGCTGAGCCATCTCTCCAGCCTACACTGCCTTTACTGTCACAGGTTACATAGGAAAAGATTTGGCAAAACCCCCTCCCGAGTCAGCACTGTCCTGCAACTAAAGTGTGTTCTTGAGGCTGCTTTGTCTGCTCACGGCTTCATCCTGCATGTCAACTGCTCTGCCTTAACTTAGCCAATCTTTTTTTTTTTTTTTTTTTTTTTTTGGTTTTTCAAGACAGGGTTTCTCTTTATAGCCCAGGCTGTCCTGGAACTCACTCTGTAGACCAGGCTGGCCTCGAACTCAGAGATCCACCTGCCTCTAGCCAATCTCATAAGAGTAAGCAGCACTAGCTGCTTTAGGACTAGAAATCCACTGGGACACCTTGCTTGCTTGCTTGCTTGCTTGCTTATGCACCTTTCTCTAGAAGTTAAAACTTTTTCCTTTCCATAATTTTTGGTTTAGTTTTGTTTGATTTTGATTCTTCAAGACAGGATTGCTCTGGGTAACCCTGGCTGTCCTGAAATTCATTCATTCTCTCTCTTTCTCTCTCTCTCTCTCTCTCTCTCTCTCTCTCTCTCTCTCTCTCTCTCTCTCTCTGTGTGTGTGTGTGTGTGTGTGTGTGTGTGTGTGTGTGTGTGTGTGTGCAGGCCAGGACCTTCTCCAATTCACAGAGATCCGCCTGCCTCTGTTTCCCAAGTGCTGGGATTAAAGGCGTGCCACCACCAGCTCCCTTCCATAATTGTGCGGTTACTTTCTTGAGACCCCTAGACCCAATCTTTATACCTTTAACTGTTCTCAGAGCATCCTGTACTCAAGGAGTGGACTTCACTCATTAAGTGGAGTGCCATTTACATGCCAGTACACATCGTATAGAGGAAGACTGGCACTCTGG